GGAGGCCCCTAAACAATTCCAACATGTGTCATGGAGTTTCGGTTTCCGAAACGTGGAAACATGTGTGGGTTTCCGTGCATCATAGGTCTACAATTTTTGTAGAATTCAACATTATTCTTATTTCTGATTTCGTTTTTGCTTTTTATATCTTGAATAAAAAAATAGTTTGGAAGTTGGATGCTGAATTTAATATTGAATTGTTATCTATACAATTAATAGATCAAGAGCCAAATTTTCAAATCAAAATGCAGGAATATGTTAATAAAAGCAAGAAAAAAGTACAGTTTGCACCCCTGATCTATAGAGTATGTATCAAAGACACCCCTGAATTACAAAATGTACCACAGTGGTCCCTGCCATTTTTAGTCAACCGTTGCTTAGTATATAAGTGATTTACCTTTTTATCCTTAAAATTGGTCCCAGTATTGGGGTGTATTTTTCGGTACAACCATGGTAAGCGTACCTTCTTTCATCTTACCTTTAATATGCTTCACTTCATGATTTTTTTCAATTCAATTTCCTCTCCATTTTCACAATTTCACGTTGTTCATTGTGCGGCTCACACATGAAAAGCTCAACGAAATAGGGCCATAACTACCCCCTTTGTTCGCCAAATACATTTGTCTGTGCAATTTTACCAATTTAATCTTTCATCTTTTAACTTTCCGGCGGTCCTTGGTGGTGTTTTTCGTCGATTGGGTTTTTCCTATTTTCACGTCAACAACTTCGTTTCTTTTTCTTGGGTATTCCGTATTGATGCAGCTCATGTGAGTGTAGGAGAATTTTTTACTCAAAGATCTCTAAATCACTTGAATCAATTCTCGAGGTTCTCTATGTACACTTTGACAAAGTTTTCATATGGAAGATAGCTTTTTGATAAGTTTTGTAGTTCAGGGGAGTATTTGATACATACCCCATAGTTCAGGGGTGCAATTGTACTTTCCCCTAAAAACAACCCACAATAAATACTTATCGAAACCAAAATTGTGTATGTTGTTCTTGTTGCAAATGAACTTATATTCGAGGAACTTTTAGTTAATTGTAAAATAAAGAAGGATGTTTGGTAAGCTTGTAAACTGCTAAAAAAATCATATAAGATGTTTAAGAGTTTATAAGTTCTTCCACAGTATTTGGTAAAAAAATTAACACATATTTTATTTTTTTTAAAAATAAGCTGTTGGAGAACATTTAATATATTTAAAAAAAAATATATCTACCCCACCTTTTTATCGTGGGCAAATTACGGACACCCACTGAGGTTTGATCAAATTACGAACTCCTTTTTGGATAATTACATCGACCCCCAAATATGAATCTTCTTACATGTCCACTTTTATGCTGATAAATTCAACATATTCTTCTAGATTATGTGGAATATTCTCTAATTTGTACACGTTTTGTGGAAAAATGCAATGTCGCACCACAATCTGATATTTACAAGTCAAGTGACACATCTTATGATCATCTTGTTTCAAAGTGTGGAGCTCGAACAGGGTAAAACATGTACAAACCGGAGAAATATTTCACATTATCTAGATGATTCCAGTAAATTTGACACCACAAAAGTGGACGTGTAAAAAGATTCATACCAGGAGGTTGTTGTAATTACCCAAACATGATAAATTTTTTTGGTAAATTGACATTACATCAGGGGACGGTCGTAATTTACCCTTTTATTTAAGATTTATAATGAGTAATAATAGCTTATAAGCTCATTATCAAAAGACTTTAAACATTAATTGTAAAAATAAGACGTAACATTGTAGACGCATAAAATTAATTAATTGGTTAATTAAATTAGCCAATTAAATTGTGTCTAAATTAAATTATAATTTTCTTGCAAAATAAGTTATGGAGATAATTATCAATTAATTATTGGCCAATAGGATTATTTCTTCTCTTCCAAGTTATAAGAGATAAATATCAATTTAAATAGAGCCAATCAAATCGCGCCACATCATCAAATAGACTTTAAGTAGGACTCTTATTCTACCACTATAAATATGGACCCTCTTTACACAATTCAAAACACAACTCAAGAAGAAGAAAAACCGTAGGAGAAAATTCTCTCTACAATATTCAAGCCGTTCTTCATCAAATTCAAGGCGTTCTTCATCAAATCGAAGGAGTTCATCAAATCGAAGGTGTTCTTCATCAAATCAAGGCGTTAAAGCGTTTAATTCGAGATTACGGTGCTAAACCCTCGAATTAACGTTATTAACATCAAATCAACATCGAAGGAAGATTGAAGGGCCAAATCCATCAAGAACTCCAAGATCTTCAAGTCAAAACTCGTCAAAGTTCTGCGTTCGATCCGAGATTCAAGTCGCAAGACCCTCGGAAGACGTTATTCAAGTTCAAAATCAAATCCGGAGAAGATCAAGTCAACGACCCGACTCCGAAATTCAAAGTCAACATATATTGTTCTTGAGAGAAGAATCAGAGGATTAAATTAGAGTTTGTAACCCGCAATATTTTATTTTAATTCAATAAATTATATTTGTGCAATTCTTTCTTGTTTGTCTAAATCGTAGATAAGAATTTGTTGTTACAAATTTTGGCAACACACAGACACATATCGAGCTCTCAAGCTCACGTCTCATATATTCGATTCCTCGAATTCATAACATATTTAAATTCGATAGGAAATCATATGTTCGATTCAAGAACAAGCTTTTAAGCCAGAAGAATCAGGGGAATTACGGAGATTGTAATCCACATCGTTTTGATTAATAAATTATTTGTTCCCTATTTTCTTGTTTTGTATTTTTATTATATTTTGCAGACTCGAAAAAATTGTGGTTTACAAATTGGCACACCCGGTGGGGATAATCTTCGCCCCTCATCTCTTCCTCCGATGTCAAAATTAAGTCCATTCAACTCTCCAATGGCGGCTAAGAAACCATTGCTACTCGTGAATACGGACGGGAATAAGAAAAAAAAAAGAAAAAAAAGGGGTAAAACTCTTTATTTATTTGCTTGGGGGCAAAGACGCAGAGTAATTGGATGAGGAAATTTCCCTCTTTACGTAATAGAGAGTGTTACAATTTCTTCTCCAATCTACTATGCTTCGACCGATTGAGTTGCCAAAGGATTTGGAGTATTGACGAAGGAAGAAAATCTCCAGCAAATCCCCTCTTTGGCAGCAGAAAAAAAAAAATACAGACCCACAATCTTTGTCCCTGAATGAATTTAAAAATAAAAAATAAAAAGAAAAGGGGCCAGCCATGGCGATCATTTGCCTTTGCCAACAATTCTCCCCGCTATGTCAAATCCGGGAGGCCGCCGGAATATGCCCGCCGACAAACATCGTCGCCTGAAGAATCCCGTTTCAATTTTTGCCGCCGGAAGCCCTCGACGGTGTTATATCCTCTTTTGCCGCCGCAAACCGCTGGCCGCTCAAGTCCACCAGTCAAACTCACCGTAGACTGAAGAGCCGCGCCACCTATTCCTCCGATGACAACAAAGATGCTGCCTATAGTCCAAGCTCGCCATCGTCTAGGTGTTGCGCTGAACTTTTCCGGCGAATCCAAAGATGCTACTGCGCCGCTCTTCATTACCACCGCCCATGGTGTGGTCGTGAATATGTGAAACATATGCATATGGAGAAATTTTCAAAGTTACAAAGAGAGATGTTGAGACCAAAGTGTGAGCGGCCGTCGGAGTAATTGTGAAGTGCTGCGGATGGATTAGTTAGATCCCCAAATCAAGAAGCAATAAATTGCGTTTGAGCCCTTATCAAAGAATAGGACTTATCATTTAAGTTCCTCAAGGTGAAGGATTTATCAAATTAAACCCCAAAGTTGAGGAAAGAGGTTTGGAAGCCAACAAATGAAAGAAAATTCGATTACTTCAAGTCTCGTCTTACAAATATTCAACATGTTCTTCGCCGAGACTAGAAGTGGGGGCATTTGTAGACATCGAAATTTTGAGATAAATTACTAATTAATAACCAAAATAAATCGGTTATTAATTTAGGTCTCAAATTAAAGTCCATAATATATTTGGGCTTTGAAATGTCTGGCCCACTCTACAAGTCGAGAAACCCTAACCCTAGATTGTGCCTATAAAAGAAGATCTTTGGTGCATCTAAAAATCAGACTCACACAGACACATATCGAGCTCTCAAGCTCACGTCTCGAGCCTCCGCCTCGAATTCATAACATATTTGAATTCGAGATGTTCGTGATAGGAAATCATATATTCGATTCCTCGAATTCATAACATATTTAAATTCGATAGGAAATCATATGTTCGATTCAAGAACAAGCTTTTAAGCCAGAAGAATCAGGGGAATTACGGAGATTGTAATCCACATCGTTTTGATTAATAAATTATTTGTTCCCTATTTTCTTGTTTTGTATTTTTATTATATTTTGCAGACTCGAAAAAATTGTGGTTTACAAACATCTTATCGGCTCTTAAAACATCTTATCAGGCGTAAAACCTTATCTTATGTTTAATATAGATTTAACCAAATAAGTTCTAAATACTTATATTTCTAGGAAATCTAAAATAGATTATCATGGGTCAAGAAATCTCAAGATTAAGATATTTTTACATAAGAAAAATCAAAGGAGTAACTCTTTTAACAATTCTTTTTTTTTTTTTCAAAAAAAAAACTTTTTTAAAAATTCCAAATTCCAAAATAAGAAAATTAACAACATAAAAAATAGGAAAATAAGATTCCCTGTAAAAAAAGTCGCCGTCAATAGAAACAAGTCAAACAACGGTATTCACTGTTACTCCCCAATTTCATTTCTCCCAACGTTCGAAAACCCCCAAACCCGACCAGATTCCTTCCTTATTCAACTTTGCTTCTCTCTCCCCCCACTCGCGCTCCTTCCCCACGCGCCGCCTCTCCTCCTCCACTTTAATCGCCATTTTCCCCCTCGACTTTTTTTTTTTTTCTCTTTTCCTTTTTAAAAAGGAGATCTAAACACCTAAAGCCAAAAAAGAAAAAAAGTAGAACGAAGTTAATAAATAAAAACAATTAAAATTACGAAGCTTTTTTTCTTTATGAATTGTGCAATTTATTTTCTGAGCCGCCACATAGAACGAAATATCCGCGTCGCCGTTGGGGAAGAAAAGTATGGGCGGGGTGACGTCATCGATCGCCGCTAAGTTCGCCTTCTTTCCGCCGAATCCGCCGTCGTACACGGTGGCGGCGGACGAATCGCGCGGCGGCGGAGCACTCTGCATACCGGAGGTACCGCAGCGGGAGGGAGTCGACGCTCTGAGGCTGAAGACGCGGCGGGGGAACGAAGTCGTCGCCGTCCACATCAGCCACCCCAAAGCCACCGCCACTCTGCTCTATTCCCACGGCAACGCCGCCGATTTAGGGCAGATGTATGAGCTGTTCGTTGAGATTACCCTCCGCCTCCGCATCAATCTGATTGGGTAATTAATTTTTCTGTATTTCTGTTTCTCTTTAATTAACTTTTCAATTATTGTATAACCCTTGATATTGATTTATAACAATTAGAGGAAAATATGAACAATTGTTTATCAGAAGAAATTTAGTTATTCTATTTTCTGTTAATCTGTTAGAATCTAGTTTAATCACAAGTGTAATTGCAAAGACAGTTTCGGCATCTTCGATTCTTCTCTTAAATCGAGCGTCACAAAATTGCTTAGAGTTAATTTTTCGAAGTTATAAGATTGTTCGCTTTGGTATTTGGATTAATTGAAGAATATATCCTCTAATTGTTGTAAAATCTCCATTTTTCATTCTAACATACAACAGAACCTCGATAAATTAATACTCGATAAATTAATAACCTCACTTGAATAATAATTTCTTCCAGTCCCGACTCGGTAAAAACGTACTAACTTTTTAGTTCGATAATTTAATATTACCCCTTTTTAATAGAATTTTGTTAGTCCGACTGAATTAATTTATAGAGGTTTTAACTGTACTTGAATTTTGAGATGCTGTCATTTACAAAAGAGTTCAAGCCAAATAATGTTCCCTTAAGTTGTGAATGTTTCTTCCAACTCCATTTTTGTAAATCTTTTACCAATTACTGAAGTATTAATCGAGTCAATTGACTGTTTAGTGGTTACCGATTGTAACGTTTTATCGTCTTCAGGTACGATTACTCGGGTTATGGACAATCCACTGGAAAGGTTAGAGCCTATTTTAAATAAATATCTGATTTTTTTTTTAATTAATTGAGCTATGTTGTAATATAACACACTTTTCCGTTTTTATTTGAAACAGCCGACTGAATGTAATACATACGCAGACATTGACGCTGTATATAAGTGCCTCAAGGAGCAGTACGGAGTTAAAGACGAACAACTAATATTATATGGTCAGTCTGTTGGTAGTGGTCCCACCATTGATCTTGCATCACGACTGCCAAATTTGAGAGGGGTTGTTTTGCATAGCCCGATTCTATCGGGGTTGAGGGTATTGTACCCTGTTAAACGTACATATTGGTTTGATATATACAAGGTAATAATTTCATCGTACTTGTCAGTAATTTGCTAGTGGAAACTAATACTTTTGACACTCGGTTTGTTTCGTTTTCTTTTTAATTACAGAATATTGACAAAATTGGTGCGATAAACTGTCCGGTTCTTGTTATTCATGTAAGTTCGTCTTGCTTTTTGCTTATTTTGATATCTTCCTTAATCCTTCTTTCTCGTTTTTCCCCTCCTTATATTTTTGTAAGTAGGATTATTCTTAATTGTTCAGGTGGTGTTTGCAAAAGCTTTTACAAATAGATTACTAATCTATTTTTAAGTGTTTGCAAAATGAACTTTTGCTTATGCTTCTCTTAAAATAAACAACTTTAGTTTAAGCTATAATTTGTTAAGCACCTATGACCCAAGTTTTTTTATTTAAGTTTATTTTCTGTTAAATTGCAAACACCCACAACTTTTGAAATAAGCACTTAAAATCAACTTAACTCACAATCTATAACTTCTGCTTTAAATAAGCTTTTGGAAACACCACCTCAATGCTTTTGGACACTCTACTCAAATTGGAAGTGAGGCTAACTTAGCCAATTTCTTTCTTTATATATTTTTTTTTAATTTGAATTATTTAATGTTGTAGGTGAACTAGTTACATTGAGTTATCAATACTAGTAATGTAGGGAGTATGGGCAAATTTGTATCTTTAGCATCAATTAACTAAAAATGCTTTGTGGATGATCAAAGTTGATTTTTTTTTAATTAATTAATTAAATTTTATTTTATTTTATTTTATTTTATTTTTTATTTTTTATTTTTTTGTGGAGGTGTTTCAGATTAAATATATGCTTACCTGAAAACCCATGTAATTTATAAGAGAGAGTTATATTTTCTTGCATTATATTGAGGTAAATGCTGCTTAACGATAGTTAGTTCCGTAAATAGGGTACTGCAGATGAAGTTGTAGATTGCTCCCACGGGAAGAAGCTTTGGGAGCTTTGCAAGGTTAAATACGAACCCTTATGGTTAAGCGGAGGTGGCCATTGCAATCTCGAAATATACCCCGAGTTCATTAAACATCTCAAAAAGTTCGTACTTGCTCTCGGAAAATCGAGGCCAGCTGTCAATAGTACTGTAGTAACAGCATCGTTAAATTCAGACAGTACGGATAAATCTGCTGAACAAAGCACTACTACCGCAGATGCACCGGATATTCCGGAAATTTCTAGAAACAGTTTGGATAGCCGACTTGACAAGTCAAAGAAGTCGACGAGCAAGCCGGAAAAATCTAGAATGAGTACTGACGAAGGATTCAGGAGAAAAAAAGGCTTGATCTGGTGAGGTTATTAAATATTATGTGGATAGACACCCGAGTTTGTTTCGTAAATTAATTATTTAGTAAGTTAAATCATATTTGCTCTGTCCCTGAGAAGATATTAACGAATTTGTATTAAATTGTAAAATATTTGTATTATTATCATTAGATGTGACGATTTTGTAATTTGAGCTATTTCGAATCTGTATATTTTTGTAAGTGGAGTAAAAGTCCCTAATTTCAACCGAGTGATTTTGTTGATCGTGTAAATGTGGGACTGAAATCCAAACCGATACCGGAAATCGAAATCGAAAACCGAAACCTCGAAAACCGAAATCGAAAACTTGAAATCTGAAAACTCGAAACCTGAAACCGTACCGAACCCGAAAATCCAAACCGAAACAGAAATTGAAAACCGAACCAATCCCGAAATTGAAACCAATACTCAAAACCGAAAACCCAAAATCCAAAACCAAAACAGAACCCGAAAACCCGAAGTATAATTGAACATAACTTTAGTGTATATTTGACGTTAGATGAAATCGTGGCTACGTCACCAGCTTTGCACCGGACGGACACTTCTAGTAGGTGAAGAGTTCCCGTATCCGACACCTGGACACTCTGACACGCCCGGACACGGCTCGGACACCTGTGCCGAGCCATGTGGTAATTTCGCTAAAAGTAGGACACCCGTGTCAAACAGTGTCCGCAATTTTAAAAAAGTTGGGACATAGCTCTTATGTTTAAAAAAAAAAAACCCTAATAAAAAATAAGCATTTTCTTTTCTCCGTAACACATATTTCCTTTGTCTTCTTTGAGAGCCCCAAAAATCCAAAACTCTAGCGACAACAGGGACAAGAACACGAGCAGCAATTTATAAATATATATTTACAATTTATAAATGTACCATATACTTTTATAATTTATAAATATACCCCTATATTTTTTATATTTATGCGTATCCCCATGTATCCGTATCCTAGTTTTTTGGAAATACCAATGTTTTGAAAACCGGACCGGACATCGACCCGGCCAAGCTACCGGGTCACGGTTGAACCGGTTCAACCGGGGTCCAACCGGATTTCTTATTTTTTTTTATATATAATTATTTTATTAATTTAATACCTCAAATATAATATACTTTATATTTTTATATTTGCTTCCACTTTAATCTAGTTCGACCTTTTTTATAAAAAAATAATTTAAAATTATTACTTTTCTTCTCCCTACTCTCTCTCTCCTTCCCTCTCTCTCTCACTTCTTACTTCCAACTTCACAGGTCCCCATCCCCTTCTTTTCTTCCATCTTCTTTTCTTCTCATCTTCCTCTGTTTATTCTCAATTATCATAATTTCCAGTTTCCAACCACATATAAACTCTATTTTCTCAACTTATTTTTACATTTTTTCTTCATTTTCACTTTCACCTTCTTCGTTTTTTTTTTCTTCGGTAAAGCTATGGCGGCCACAACTTGGATTGAGTCACGAACTACCCAAACCCGTCTAGATTTGTTCACCAACAACCTTTCCGGACAAGATTCTCTCACCCACGACCACCATTGATGTAGATCCGACCATGATATTTTTTATTGAGCTGAAAACCGGTTTGCGGACTTGGTTTTGGGTGAACCGGTTTTTACTGGTCTAACCGGGATTTTGACTGTTGACCCGGGTTTTTGGGCTTTTTGGGTTTTCCCATCTAACCGGACCGGACATGGCGGCGGTTCGCGGTTGAACCGGTCGAACCGGCCGGTCCGGTCCGGTTTTCAAAACATTGGGAAATACCGTATCACCGTGTCCACATCCGCGTATCGCCGTGTCCGCGTATCCGCGTCCATCCAGCATAAATTGCACACACATCCTAATTTTTTTTTTTCCAATTTCTCATTCCTTTTAAACATCATAAAAAATACATAAATGAATCCAGAAAAGTCAAAGAGAGAGTCTTTGTGGGCCAACGTTGACAAGTCTTTGATGGAGCTTCTCAGAAATCATACACCACAACATTTTACTTTTTCCTTCTCTCATTTAATCATCACCAAATATCATGAATAAACAAAATAAATCTAACTGATAAAAAAAAAAAATGCTTCTTAAAACTAATCAAAAACATTTCTTCTTAATCCAGGCAATCCTTGTATCGATCTACTTTCCAATTTTATTCGGTGCCGGCGGTTTTTTAATCCAACCATCGGCAGCGGCGGCAGTTTGCGGCAGCTCAGATTCAACTGTTTGCTATAAGCAGAGCCACGTCAGACTACTGGCGGGGGCCGCCGCCCCCACTCCTTCTCCTTCTCTAGGTATTATTATTTTCAGCAGATTATGTTCATTAAATTTAGAATTTAACAATCAATAAGATGAATTACGGGCGTTTATTACTATTTGATGGGCTAAATAATTAAGAAATTGAGAATTTATGATACAAAGTTAAATTATATGTTTATTGAATAAGAGTATTTGAGCTATTTGATATGAACGTTTTTATATTTTTGATATCACTTACGATTATACTGTTGAGTAAATATGGAAATTGTAACTTATAAAATAAAATATCCAACAATGACAAATTTTCATTACATGTCAAAATAAATTATAGATAATCTTATTAATAAAAGTAAGGGTGTTTCTAGAAAACCATAAAAAAAAATTTCCGCACATTTGATAATTATAATTGTCATTTATTTATTTAATTAATTTTATTATTTTATTAAATTTAATATAATCAAGTTTAATAAATCCGTCAAGTATCCGTACTTTTTGCCCCCAAATCTACATATATTTTCCCACTAAATTGTCATTTTACATAGTATTAATTTTATCGGAAAATTATTTAATTGTTTTGAAATATATTTGGTTCTTATCTTATTAATAAAAGTAAAGTTGCTCGTGATAAACCCTTGAGATTTAATGGTATCATTGATTTATAGTAAATTTACTGAGGCCTGTTATGGGCGATAAATAAGAAGATTCGTTAACTTCTACATTAACTGAGATAAGATAAATATACAACCATATCTTATTAATAAAAGTAAGGTTGCTCCGATCCTGAAAAACCCTAGAAACTTTTTTCCGCTCATTTGATAGTTATAATTGTCATTTATTTATTTAATTAATTTTAGGGAAAATTGCACATCACCCCCTATAAATTTCTAATTTTCGCACTTTACCCCCTCAAAATTTTGAAAAGTGAATGTCCCCCTCCAAAATATTATTCTTGTTGCACATTTCCCCCGATAGCAAAATTCCGATGGATTATTCATCGGAATTGAGGATTTTTTTTGCACGTTACCCCTTTAAATGTTATTTTTATTGCAAGTTGCCCCTTAAAAACATTACTTTTTTGCACATTGCCCCTTTAAAATATTATTTTTGTTGCACAATGCCCTCCACAAATTGGCTTATGGGGCAAAGTGCAATCAATATAATATTTTGAAGGGGGAATATCCATCTTTTTAATTTTTGGGGGGGAAAGTGTTAAAAACAGAAATTTATAGAGGGCAAAGTGCATTTTGTCCTTAATTTTATTGTTTTATTATATTTAATATAATCAAGTTTAATAAATCCGTTAAGTATCCTGACTTTTTGCCCCCAAATCTACGTATCTTTTCCCACCAAAACTGTCATTTTAGGGTTTTTCAGGAGCAATCTTACTTTTATTAATAAGATTAATTTTATAGGAAAATTATTTAATTGTTTAGAAAAATATTTGGTTCTTATCTTATTAATAAAAGTAAAGTTGCTCCTGATAAACTCTTGAGATTTAATGGCATCATTAATTTACAGTAAATTTTATGGGTGATAAAGAAGAAGATTCGTCAAACTTCTACATTAACTGAAATAAGATAAATATACAACCATATTACATCAAAAATATAAAATTAAATTAATAAATATGCATGGCAAAAACAATTATGGATGGAGGATTATATTTATCATCAATGCATATAGCAAAACATCATCATCAATGCATAAAGCAAAACATCAAAATGAATTGAAACTTCAGTTTTGTCGTTTAAATTGAACTTTACTTTGTATTAATTTTACTTCAATCTCGTGCATCGCACGGGCCAAAAATCTAGTTATTATTGAAACAAGGGTTGTTTAATACTGTAATACCAAATGCTTTATTAAAATGGCTAATTATCTTATTAAAACCTAAATCCCAAACATTTGAGAAGTTTATTATAGGGTTAAATACAGTTTCCACTTCTGTACTATCATCACTGTCGCATATACCCGTGTACTATGAAATGCGGCAAAACAACCCCTGCGGTCCATCTCTGATTCTCTGTTACAAAAGTTGTCCCTTTCAATAGTTGGAAAATTTCAGACCAAAATACCCCTTTAATTGTGTATAAAAGGTGTGCATCATTCTTCACTCATTTGTACTCAATTTCTTCCTAATTTTCGTTCCCTGCCCTTTTTTTTAACCAAAAATTATGAACAAATTTTATATTCTATAATTTTTTTTTAATTTCTTTTTAAATTTAGAAATAAATTACTCGGTTTAAAAATGTCTTTCGTTAGTTCAAATTCTCAAAATTCATGTTTTAGGTCCAAACACTACATGTCATATTTTTCTGTAACCACTTTTGTTTTGATGTACGTGTTCGATTTTTTTTTGCCCAAGTTACATTGAATTTCTATCAAATAAGTGTAAGGGTAAAAAGGTAACTATGCAAAAACTAACACGTACCGTTAGAGTTGACTGGTAAGGTGAGGGGCTGTTTTGTCGCATTTCATAGTACATGGGGTATATGTGACAGTGACGATAGTATAGGGGTGCAAATTATATTTAACCCTTTATTATATTTTATACCTAGCAAGTTTGTGAATGGGGAAAATGATTGCAGGTGCAAAATTCACATTGGTAAACAATTGTTCAGAGACGATTTGGCCAGCAATCCGAAGCAGCGTAGGCTCACCAAACCTAGAAAGCACAGGATTCGAGCTCCCCATCGGCACATCACGCGTCATCGACGCCCCAACTCGCTGGACCGGAAGTTTCTGGGGCAGAACCAACTGCGCCTTCAACGACTCCGGCAATGCCACCTGCAGCACCGACTACGCCGTCGCCACATTGGCGGAGTTCAGCGTCGGGTTGGGCTCCGCCGACTTTTATGACGTCAGCCTCGTCAACGGCTTCAACCTGCCCCTGCGGGTCGACCCCGTCGGCGGGTCGGGTCAGTGCAATTCAACCGGCTGCGTGGTGGATCTAAACCGTTTGTGCCCCGAGGAGCTGAGAACCGATGGCGGCGGCGCCTGCCGCAGCGCGTGCAACGCGTTCAACACCACTGTGCACTGTTGCAGAGGGACGACGTGCAGGCCGACGCTGTACTCCCAGCTGTTCAAGAATTCGTGTCCCCTGGCTTACAGCTACGCCACCGATGATGCCACCAGCACCTTCACTTGCCCCTCAACCGCCGATTACGTCATCACCTTCTGCGCATCGAGTATTCCCGGGTACAATTCTTCACTGCATGCAATACCACATCTTGATGCTTCTTTGAACTCTTACTGAGTCAGAAAATATTGTTTTGCAGTCAAAACATATCCGTAGATGATAGCCCTGCGATTGGATTAGGTAAGCGAAACTGATTATTTTTTTTGAAGGGCAAATTACGGCCACCCCTGAAGTATGGTCAAATTACGAAAAAACCCTTCTTGTTTGGGTAATTACAACCACCCCTTCTTTTAAATATTTTTACATAAAATTTATGTAATTCGGTTATTTACCGAACCAAATCGTATATTCAGTTCGGTAAACAATATGAAATGTTGGCATACCGAAATTACGGTTCGGTTTTACCGATTTAACATCACTAAATTTACTTCCGGAGAGGTATTTTCGTAAGATAATACATAGTTGAGGGGTGGCTGTAATTACCCAAACATGATGGGGTTTTTCGTAATTTCACCATAACTCAGTGGTGGCCGTAATTTGCCCTTTTTTAAACTATTAATTTGCGGTAAACAGTTTATCAAGTTCATACTCACTAGTATTTCTCCCAAAGGGCCATCTCCGGAGCCATCTTTCCCAAGGACATCTGATCCAGGAACATCTTCTTCTCCAATAATAGGAACTATAGCAGGTAAACTAATATAATTTTACTTTCCTCAATAATTAAAAGAAATATTATTTTGTCTAATCATGTAACGTAACTTTTCTCGTGTATGCATCTAGGAGTAATAATTGGCATATTGACTATAGCATCAATTGTGTCATACTGCTATATTAAAAGACGACATGTATCAGAAGGTCCTTATCAGTTGAGCAACCAAGATATAGAAAAGTTTCTAATCCAACATGGATCACTCGCTCTAAAGAGATACAAATATTCCGAAATCAAGAAAATGACAAAGTCATTGAAAGATAAACTTGGTCAAGGAGGCTATGGTAGTGTCTACAAAGGTGTATTACCCGATGGCTCCCTCGTGGCTGTCAAGGTTTTGATCGAGGCGGATAGCAACGGAGAAGAATTCATCAATGAAGTTGCTAGCATTAGTAGAACCTCCCATGTCAATATCGTCAATCTTTTGGGATTTTGCTTCGATAGAAATAAGAGAGCTTTGGTTTACCAATTTATGGCCAATAAATCATTAGACAAGTTCATCAACAATAAGGATTCATGTCCTATAGATTTGCAAACAATGTACGGCATTGCAGTTGGAGTTGCCAAAGGTTTGGAATATCTGCACACGGGGTGCAATACTAGGATTGTCCATTTCGACATTAAGCCACAAAATATTCTATTAGACGAAGATTTTTGTCCTAAAATATCTGATTTTGGGCTTGCGAAACTAGGTAAGAAGAAGCAGAGTGTAATATCGATGCTCGGGACAAGAGGGACAATTGGTTATATTGCTCCCGAAGTATTTTCGAGAAATTTTGGAGGAGTTTCTTATAAATCTGATGTCTATAGCTATGGAATGATGGTCCTTGAAATGGCTGGAGCGAGAAAATTTGTCGAAAATGAGGCAATTCAGTCGAGTGAGAACTATTTTCCGGATAAAATCTACGAGGAAGTTGTACTTGATGTAACCAAGAGGTTGGGCGATTTCACGTTTGAAGAGGAATTAGAAGAAACGACGAAGAAAATGTTTTTGGTAGGATTTTGGTGCATTCAAACAAATCCAACGGATAGGCCAACGATGTCGAAGGTTTTGGAAATGTTAGAAGGAAGTCTACAATCTATACAAATTCCACCAAAGCCAGTTTTGTGCACTCCTATTTTACCGGCACAAGACGGTTCCTCGTCATTTTCAACATATGTGGACACTGAAAATTCATCTAATGTTGTAACTATATGATTACTGGTTAAATGAAAAACTGTATTAGTTTAGAATTGTAAAATCTTCATTTGTCATTTTGATGTGAGAAGTTTGTAATTTTTTAGAGCAGGAATTTTGCCCTCCACAGTAAAATCCTAAGAGTTAAGCATCTAAAGGACATTTCTTTTTCCTTATTTTTTTTGGCTTAATTTCACTTTGCACCCTTGAAATATACCATTTTGGCACTTCGCACCCTCAAAAAATAATAAAAGCACTTTGCACCCTCAAAACACAATAAATCATTCACAGTGCACCCAAAATTGAATAATAAAAACAATTTCATTTTTCATTGGTGTTTTTTTTTTCGGTATGCAAAATAAAAAAATAAATTGTTATTTTCTTGAACATCCAACCTAATTTCGAGCGAACAAAGTGCGAAAAAATAAAAATTACACCGGATTATTTAAAACGCTATATTTTCTTACAAAAATAATAAAATAAGCTTTTATCACTGAATTATTCGATTGATGGATCTTTTATTGAAACTGGTTGAAAATATTAGGTAAAAATATTTGGAAGAAAATATGATTTTCAGATAACTTGATAACAAAATAGCTGGATGATTTTTTTTTTCGTAAAATATTTTATTTTGATAATTTTTTTTTTTTAAATATGTTGATGAAATGTATTTTTATTTTTTCACTTTATAGTTTCAAAATGATTGATGAATAAAAATAGAATTTGACATTTGGCATCCTAAAAAATTATCATAAAAAATATTAAATTACATTTTTTAGCTTTAAACATTTATTTGGGGTGCATTATGCATGATTTATTGTGTTTCGAGGGTGCAAAATGATATTAATTTGCTTCGAGGGTACAAAGTGCCAAAATTGTATATTTCAAGGGTGCAAAGTGGAATTAAGACTTTTTCTTTTCCTTTCTTTTTTAACTTATAGGTCCTTAATGACAAGAATGCCCCTCCATCTTATTTAATAAGTTTCACATTGATTTTAGAGCAATGATACAAAATGAATTCCAAGAATTGGAAAACACAAATGTTGTAAAATTTTATATTGGCTTTCCGTCACAAATTGAGTCATGGTTATCGGATCGTAAAAATATCTCGTATCGTTTTGCTCCACGTCTCGTATCGTATCGTAAGATATTTAACCAACTATTAAAATAATAAAAAAATATATATCTACATTATAAAAATATTATAAATATGTAAAATTTAATATAACTACTTATTTCAAAATAGGTATAAATTCAAGTTTCAACATCATATTATAAAATATGACAAAAACCATATATGTTCATTAAATAACATCATCTAAGAGTGTGTTTGGCTAGGCTTATAAGATGTTAAAACGAGCTTATAAGATGTTTAAGAGTTATTCGAGTGTGTTAGGTAATTTTTTTCAAAAGATCTTAAAAAATCAAAATATTATAGGCTACCGGAGAGCAAATAAGATTTTTTATTTTTAAAGTACCTTTACTCCACCTATGTATTTAAGATCTTATAATGAGTAAAATAGTTTGTAAGATCACTATGCAAACACTTGATTTTTTTTTTAAAGTAAGACGTAACAACTTATCAGCTCTTAAAACAACTTATCAGATGCAAGAGCTTATTAACTGTTTAAAATAAGCTTAGCCAAATTGTCCCTAAGTTCAAATCCGAATACCTAATTTCTAAAATATTCGATATCTCATAATTTTGAAGATCAATGTCACTTAAATCGTCCTCATCTACCAATTTTAAACGATTGCATTCATCATCATCAATCGCAAAATCCAGTAAAAAAACGCCTCGAATTGGTCTTGAATCGCAAGAATCTATAGAAATTGAATTAGGATTGTAATATTGTGAGGATTGGTGAAGAAATTGAAGAGAAAAGTGTGAATTAGGGTTGGGATATTGAAGAAATCTGTTCTAAACCGTTTTTCAAAGCAGTTGACTGCATTTCTTCTTTTTTTCTTCGTTTTTTTCATTTTTTTTAATTGTCGACTAATATCGTAAATATCGTATCGTATCATGATACAACGATACGATACGATATCTCGCGATATTTAACAGTATTTATCAATAAGCGATACATAACCCGAGTTGTATCGTTTTGATTGGAACCATACCGTAATATCGCGGTATATCGCGAGATTAACTACCATGAATTGAATTAACTAAACTCGAAAAAGATATTGCATGGTGTTATTTACTTCAATAATTATTGCAGCTTCCCTAATCTCTTTAATTTGAAGATCAATCTATCCAAGTCAACACAACTTCCTAGTTCTTACCTGCACTAGTCAGTCACGTATGTCCCAAATACAAAATCCTAATGAAAAATAAATAAAAAATTGAAAAATGGCCAAAAGTCTTGAATAGGATGTTTAAAAGACAAATAATACTACTAATTTTCCGTTCTGGAGTGCATAAAATAATTTTGAATAATAATAAGGGGAAAGTACAATTTACACCCCTGAACTAGGCTTGTCCTAAACACCCCCTAAAGTATAAAACGTAACAAAAAAGCCCCTCCGTTTTCAATCCGTTTGTGTAATAACATGGCAAGTTGTCTTTTTTTTTTGGGGCTTTAAGATATAGGTCCCTGGTGACAAAACTTATTAGAACTAAATGACAAGTTCAACTAAACATTTGTTTCACATCCTTTATAAAATTCATTCCAAAATTGCCATTTACGCACAAAAAAAGGAAAGTTGCACCAAGTAATATTAAAACAACATTTATCATTTTTTATTTTGTATTTAGTATTTTCAATTTTACATCTACCATCTTATTACTTTTTTTTTTTTTTTTTTTACGTAGTACACTTTTTCTTTATCCATTTTTCATATTTGTTCACTATTATAAAAACCTTATTTTTTCTGAATAAATATTGAAAATTATGAAAATAATTTTTTTTAATGTTTTTCAACTGTAGTATCTATAGACACCCATAGAAATCCGTAGTAGTCTGTAGACACTCATAGAAATCCATAGTAGTCTGTAGTCACCCATCGTCATTTGTAGTCACACACTTTGAAAACCCTAGCCCCTATTTGAACCCTAGCTGCCACCGCACATAAACTCATAGTAGTCTATAGTAACTCGTAGTCGTCTCCGTGTTAAACCCTAGATTTGCTGCCATCGTTGCAAACACCATAGCCACCGCCTCCGCTATTGCCATAACCACCCCCACCATAACCCACCACCACTCGTATACTTGGACTCATCAACGATATTGCCTCCGCTACGCACTCCATCGCCGCTTCAGATCCACCACCGCCACCATAGATCCGACGCGCAATTGCTACCCACTCCGTCACCGCCTTCAGATCCACCGTCACCATAGATTCACCGCAGTTGTCACCTTAAGATTCACTGCCGCCCACTCCGCCACCGCCTTCTCGTCCGCCGCCAGGCCCGCCACCCTCGTTTGCTTCTCCAAGCATATAGCAGAACTGATTCGTGAGCCCAAACAAAAAACTAGTCCATAGCGATATGGAGATAGGGAGAGAAAGAGAGAGAAATAAAGCGATAGAGAGAGGGAGAGAAAAAGAAAGAAAAAAACAGAGAGAAAGAAAGACGCATGGAGAGAAAAAGAGAAAAAAAATTGAGAGAGAAAGAGGCGAGAGAGAGGGAGGGGAATGGAGAGAGAAAGAGAGAACAACAAATAAAAATAAATTTATTCAAAAAACGTTAATGAATATATAGATTAAAAGATTTAGGATATAAGGGCAATTTAGGGATAACAAAATAATTAAGAATGTATGTCGTATATTATTTCAAATTAAGTATTTCATTAAAAGATTGAATTTGAACTTGTCATTTAGTTCAAATTAAGTTTTATTTGAGGGGGTCTTAGCGTATTAAATATTAACCCTTTTTTAATCATTTTCTCTATTGCAAAATTTTATATATATATAACAATAATAGAAGGAAAAAAATAGACCTTTTCATCTTCCACCAAGCAAAACCCCAACAATGAGAACTACCACAGACCAAATCCAAGTAACAGTAACAGATATGCGGCGGCGCCGAAAACCCTAGCCGCATTTTTTTCCCAACGGCCAGATTATCAACCATCCACCTCAGCTCATCCCTCGTCCCCAAAACGACGCCTCCCCAACAAGCCTTTCAGCCACTTCCGCCGCTTCCATCTGTCCATCATGCGGCGGAATTGCTGATCTCCGCCTACATGGGATTCCTGCAGTACCACTAGTTGGTCGGTCAATCAATTATGTAACCTCGCTTGGTTGGATGGAGAATCGGGGAGAGAACTGTGATAGGTGTCTTTTGTGGAGATGGTTGGATGGGAGGAGAAATGATAGGATTGGATGATGCAAGTTTTCTAAATAAATTTAGGGCAAATAAGTAAAATCAGAAAAAAAAACTAACGGTGTTAGTTTTTCAACTGATGACTGTAAATGACGGGGGGCATTTTGTTACCTTTTGTAGGTTAAGGAGGTGTTTGGGATGGACCCCATAGTTCAGGGATGCAAACTGTATTTTCGCCTAATAATAATAAACAAAAAAAATATAATATAATATATATATATATATATATATATATATATATATATATATATATATATATATACACACACACACTAGGGGAGTGATGTTGACTACCAAGTCAAGAATTTGAATACTTATAAAAAAAAAAAGAATGTTAAATAGCATTTAACACTTGGGTAACAATTTTTTGCAGATGACCCCCTCGTGTTTGTAATATTAGCACATAATCCCCTTGTGGTTTATAGGAGTACCTTTCGTTAGTTTTCCGTTAAACTTAACCGCATGTGTCAAACTTGAAGAGGGCCATCTGCAAAAATGAAAGGGGAAATGAAAGAATAAGGGCGTCATCTGCAAAAAACAAAAAAAAACAAAAAAATATTTTGACGTGTGACACACGAGATAAAGTTTGATCGAAAAACTAACGAAAGTTACCCCATAAACTACAAATGGGATATGTGCTGATATTACAAGGACAATGAGATTATCTGCAAAAGCTTATAACCAGAGGGGGTTAAGTGTTATTTACCCAAAAAAAAAAAAAAAAATCAAGAATTTGTATATATAATAACCATTTATTGCAAACCAATACATCATTTTAATCAACTATATTTCCTTCGTAGACTACTAATCTCAACTTTTGTCTGGCAAAAATGAATTGGAAACTTTTTCAC